ACCCAATAATTACACGAAATTCGCTTGCAGCATTTCAGTTGGATTTGTAAGATAATACAGGAATGATTATTCATATCCAATCTTTTCCAAACACAAGTTTAATATTTCATCTCCTTTTGAACATTTGCGATCGCCTAGTTAATAAAATCAAACAATTACACGTACGTTATTTAGTTTGAGTTGTTTATTATTTTTCAACAAATTGATTAAATATTTTTTTAGCAACAAATTCAGAATTTGAGACTAAAAAAATAAACTACCCACTAGACTTATCCATATGTATTGTTGATGTCAAAGAACCATTGTTCAACACTATTCCCTTTTCAACTTCACCTTGAAAAAATATTTGGGGAAAATATAGAATTTAAAAAAAAGATAAGTAAGAAACCACTAACATCAAATATACTTTTAATCTTATGAATTCATAAAAAGGAATGTGTGTTTGCGTTGTGTAAGTTTAGTGATTAGATGTTAAATGTAATGTACTGTTGAGTTCCAAACGGATACCATAAGAAGTTTAATTCCATTTCAAAACGAATTATCAATATTCACGAAAAAATGGGGGACAAATCATCATATAAATTATTTTTTTGGTGCTGACTGGGAAAATATTGCCTATAAGTACATCTGCATCCGCCGCTGTGCAAATAACACACCAGCGCTGTATAGGTAAATACAGGTCAGAGTTAGGGTCAGAGACCGACACGCTTCCGCGAGCAAGTACATCTAAATCTCAGTCCGTTATTTGTCTGCTATGAACTGCGTTTTAGGGCCGTGTTTAACCAAACGGTTTGTATGCATTTGCGTTGAGTTTTAGTTGCGTTTCCGTTGCGTTTCCGTTCCGTTTGAGTTGCGTTTCCGTTGCATTTCCGTTGCGTTTGCGTTCCGTTTGCGTTGCGTTTGTGTTCCGTTTGCGTTGCGTTTGTGTTCCGTTTGCGTTGCGTTTGCGTTTTAACGGAAAAGAAAAACGGTCCAGGGTCTGTAAGAGATGGATATCAACCATATTTGACTGGAAGCATTTCTAGGTGGTGGTGATTATAAATTGTACAAATGGTGGGGCTGACTCCCCAGGGGGCTGAGGGGCGGGGCTGAAAGGGGGCAATTTGGCTATATTGCTACAAACGACTTCTTCTGTAGAACTGTGCACTGGATATCAATCATATTTGATCAAAAGCATTCCTGGGAGGCAGGGATTTAAAATTGTACAAATGGTGTGGCTGACCCCCC